GCAGTGGCACACTCCCGGCCACCGCAGCCTCGACCTGCTGGGCTCCGGCGATCCTTCCGCGTCAGCCTTCCAGGTAGCTGGAATTACAGGCGCGTGCTACCACGCCCGGCTAGTTTTTGATTTATTGTAGAGAGGAGGTCTTGCCAAGTTGCCCGGGTGGGTCTGGAACCGTGGGCTCAGGCAATCCACTCGCCTCAGCTTCCCAAAATGCTGGGATTATAGGCTGAGCCACCAACCCCGGCCTTTCTTTGTTTTTTGAGTTGGAGTCTCACTCTGTCACCCAGACTGGAGTGCAGTGGCACACTCACGACTACCCCAGCGTCGACTTTCTGGGCTCATGTGAACCTTCCACCTCAGCTTTCCAAGTAGCCGGAACTATAGGTGCGCGCTACCACGCCTGGCTAATTTTTTATTTATTGGAGAGATGAGGTCTTGCCAAATTGCCCAGGCTGGTCTCGAACCCTTGGGCTCAGGCAGTCCACTCGCCTCGGCTTTGCAAAGTGCTAAGATTACAGGCTGAGCCACCGAGCGGGCCCAGGATAAATTTTGGAGAGCTGCTAGATGCGGACTAGGAAGACATGCCATGGGAAATGTATCTAAGCCTCTAAGTTTCTGCCAGGCACTGGGGGGAATCTAGTTCTTAGCCCTTAAAACTCAAGGGGTCCTCACCTTTCCCAGAGTATTAGGACAGATGGGGTTCAGACTCCTGGCCCCTACGGCAGGGAGCCCTGGGAGATGTTCTTCAAACCCCATCCTCTGCCAGGTGTACTATGGGAGATGTAGTTCTGACTCCAGGATGAAATTTTGGTGAGGATGTGGGAAGGAAGTGAAGGGTGAGAGGAAATGGGGAGACATAGGGGACGTTTGTTCTGCCCTATGGTCTTGTGAGACAGATTGTATCCCAGTCCTAGCCTTTGTTCCAAGGCAGACTTGTAGTTCACCCTACACACTCTCCCTCTCAGAGCATCATGGGAAATGTGGTCTGCCACGTGCCAAAGACAGTGTGTGTCTGTTTCTCTTAGTGGGACCAGAGTTAAGATTTCTTTTTTTTTATTTTGTTGAAGTCCCATTCTGTCCTCCAGGGCAGAGTGCAGTGGCACAATCATGGCTCACCGCAGCCTTGACCTCCTGGGCTCAGGCAATCCTGCCTCAGCCTCCAGAGTAGCTGAAACCACAGGTGTGCACCACCACACTCAGCTAATTAAAAATACATTTTTTGCCGGGCTCGGTGGCTCAGCCTGTAATACCAACACTTTGAGAGGCCGAGGTGAGTGGATTGCCTGAACCCGCGGGTTCAAGACCAGCCCGGGCTACCTGGTGAGACCTTGTTTCTCCAATAAATAAAAAATGAACCAGGCACCGTAGTGCGTGCCTGTAGTACCCACTACTTGGAAGGCTAAGGTGGAAGGATCACTGGAGCCCAGCAGGTCGATTCTGGGGTGACTGTGAGCGTGCCACTGCACTCCAGCCTGGGCAACAGAGTGAGAATTCAGCTAAAAAAAAAAAATTTTTTTTTTGTAGATATGAGGTCTTGCTATGTTACTCAGGCTGGTCTCGAACTCCTGGGCTCAAGCAATCCTCCTGCCTTGACCTGGCAAAGTGCTGGGATACAGGTGGGAGCCACCACCCTGAGCCCCAACATTTTTGGATTAATGGACGCAGGACCTGTCTCATTTTGGGGGTTCTCTGCACTTGACTTGCCCCCGATTCCCCTAGGTTTCATTCTGACTGGGTCAACTTCCCTCCCTCCAACCACTGACCTATCTGTGTCTCCCTCCTGCAGCTAATGTGACCATATCCTTGCCTGTCCGGGGCTGTGTCCAGGACGAGTTCTGCACCCGGGATGGGGTGACAGGCCCAGGGTTCATACTCAGCGGCTCCTGCTGCCAGGGATCCCGCTGTAACTCCGACCTCCGCAACAAGACTTACTTCTCCCCCCGAATCCCACCCCTTGTCCTGCTGCCTCCTCCTAAGTCCACAACTGTGACCTCAACCACTTCTGCCACCACTTCCACCCCGGCCCCAACTACCCCCACCTCCACCCCCAAACCCACAGCAGCCGCCACCAGCCAGACTCCACCACAGGAAGTAGAACCGGAGGTCTCCAGGGAGCTTGATTCCCACTCGGCTGGAGGCGCCGTTGGCCACCAGGATCGCAGTAATTTCGAGCTGAATCCCCCAAAAGGTGGGACCCCGCAGACCTCAAATAAAGGCTCTGTAGCTCCTGCGGCCGGGCTGGCGGTTCTCCTGCTGGCTGTGGCTACTGGTGCCCTTCTATGAGCTTCCCCAGCTGAAGACTCCCCTTCGCCTACTACCCTGGTCCTGGGCACTCCCTCTTCCCATGCCTTCCCTTTCCCACCACTGGACTGGGCTGGCCCAGTTCCTGTTCTTCTGCTGTCCCCCAGTATCCCCAGCTTCCGCTGCACTGGTTTGCGGCTTTGGGTAATAAAGTTACCGTTGTGTATATGGTGCCAGGATGTTCTAGCTTTTTGAGGGCAGCAACCGTAATCCCCTCATCCTTGTCTCTCCTTCGTCCCCTTATGATGCTAAAACACAAAGAGAAAAGGTAGTTGTCACCAGGAGGGTGGGAGAGAGAAGGATGAGGGACCTACTCTCTTTCTCATAGCCAGCCTGGACTATGGGGGGGAGGGCAGGACAATGGCCCCCTCCTTTGAGGGCCGTCCCCCACCTTCCTGGGAGTCAGTTCCTCGTCTGCCTTCCTTACTAGACTGTGAGCTCCTCGAGGGCAGGGACCATGCCTGATGCCCCTGTGTGACCAGTGACTGGCACATCAAGGCCTCAATAAAGATTGAATTACTTTGTATAGTGCTTTCTTATTTTTATCTTTTAAAGTTATTGTGGAGCTGGGCTCGGTGGCTCAGCCTGTAATCCCACGCCTTTGGGAGGCTGAGGTGAGTGGATTGCCTGAGACCGAGGGTTGGAGATCCACCTGGGCAACTTGGCGAGACCTCATCTCTACAATAAATCAAAAATTAGCCGGGTGTGTTAGCGTGCGCCTGTAGTTCCAGCTACTTGGAAGGCTGAAGCGGAAGGATCGCCGGAGCCCAGCAGGTTGAGGCTGCGGTGGCCGGGAGCGGCCACGGCACTCCAGTCTGGGTGACAGAGTGAGACTCCAACTAAAAAAAAAAATAAAAACAAAAATAAAGTTATTGTGGAGAAAAGATCTCATCATGTTGCCCAGGCTGGCCTCGAACTTCTGGGCTCAAAGGTGATCCTCTCACTTTGGCCTCCCAAAGTGCTGGGATTATAGGCATGAGGCACTGTGCCCAAGGAGTCGTTTCTACCTCATTTTGCACAATCACCACTTGAAGCTGAGCTAGGGTGGGTGTGCAAGGTCTTTAACAGGAGAGAGGACCCGAGGTCTGGAGCCACAGTCCTGGGGAAATTTGGGTGGAACTCCTTTCATCTCTCCTGGGGGCTAGCCAGCCTGTGGTGTTTCCCACTGGTGAGGGGGAATCTGGATGAAACCATTAGGCTATGCAGAGGGAGGAATGAGGCTTTTAGCAACGTCAGGGAACAGAGGACAGCTTTGTCTAATGGGTCTGGGTGCACTCCCCACCCATCTTGCCATCCAGCTGGATTGTGAAGAATCATTCAGTGGGCTCACCCAGTGCATCCCACTTGTCTAGAGGGCCCGAAAGTGCTGCAGTCAGTCTTTGCTTGGTGTCAGGGACACCTAAGACCTGAGTCCTCCTTCCATCTCCTCCCAGTTGAATGGCTGCCTGGCCCTAGAGGCCCCAGAGGGACTTGGGACTGAGAGGTCCTGGTAGGCTTTGCGACCTGATAGGAGGGGGATTCGATGTAGCAATAGTGAGATCATAATAGTAGTATTGACAATATTACTATTAAGAATGGTGGCTGGGCTAGGTGGGGTGGCTCACGCCTGTAATCCCATCACTTTGGAAGGCCGAGGTGGGAGGATTGCCTGAGCCCAGGGGTTCGAGACCAGCCTGGACAATTTGGTGAGACAGCACCTCTACAATAAGTTAAGTCCCAGCTACTTGGAAGGCTGAGGTGGAAGGATCGCCTGAGCCCAGCAGATCAAGGCTGTGGTGGCTGGGAGCATGCCACTGCCCTCTCGCCTGGGTGACAGAGTGAGACTCACTCAAAAATAAATAAATAAATAAAATAAATACAAAGACGGAGGCTGGGGAATGGTGTGGACATGGGGGCAGTGAAGCCAGTACAATTTGGTTCATGATAAGTCTTGTATGCCCCCTAAAGGAATTTGACTTTAACTAGAGGTGTGTATTAAAAGTAGGCAAATATTTTGTCACTGTGGGCAGAGAGGAACAGGCAGTACTTATCACATATAAATGCTTGCTACCCTTGTTGTTTCATTGCTGGACCTCCCTGATTGGTGAGTGGGGCAGAGCAGGGAGCGATTTGGAGAGTGCAATTTACTGACTGAA